CCGGTACGAACGCTTTTTTTCCGCATTGTTATTTGTAGCAATAACCCGTTCAGGAGAGAAACGTTTGTTAAAGGCTGTTACTGCGAATATAATTTTCGATTGTACGAAAGCGCTTTTTTTGAGAGCCGCACTGTATCATTTTGCGCTTTTCCCAAAAATTAAATCATTGAAATTGTACTAGTGCATCCTCTAGACTTTCTAAGGCATGTCGAGTAAACCCGATGCCTCTCCTGGTCTAACTGATTTCAGTTGTAATTCGTTACCTTCGGGCCTTCTGTCGGTGCTTCCTTTCTCAGTTATTATTTTATTACAAAAGCTAAACTACTCCAACTTCGACATTTAGCACACATTTTCAGGAAAATTCGTAAACTTGCCTCTCCCAGTTAGTAGTCTAGGCGGCAAGAGTGCTGCTATCAGTAGGGCTAGAGTCAAAGATGAAGCGTAGAAGGGATGAAACGTGGAGGGAGAGAAGGGTTATAGGAAGAGGCGCCAGAGGACGGATAGCGGGATGCCTCGAGAATTTCGTTCAAATCCATCTAAGCCTTTATTTTTTCACAGAGAACTAAATAAAGCTGTCCGAAGTTTCGAAGTGAATCCAGAAATTTTCTTTTCCAGGATTCCACCATTTACCGGTTGCAAAATACGAACGACTGCAAAATTTATTTGGAAAAAACGAGCGCTAGGGCCTCGCTGTTGTCGATGGACAACACCGGGAAGCGTCTCTATCTCAGTTGCTATTTATGAAAAACATTCACGATTTTACCATTTATTTTTATTTATTATCATTGTCCCTAATTTGTTTCATTATATTATATGCATGAAATATATTAAAACCGCTATCTGCTTGCATGAGTTCTGTTCCTCGGGCATAATTCATCGCCACGGCTGAGACTAAAGGATTAGTGATCTGAAGGCTCTTGATTTTAGCTGTGGCATGCTGGGTACAGCTACGCCTAGCTCTTATGTACTGAGTTACTTGTCTCAGGCTCTTCTGGACTGCCTGCAGGCCCGCGTGCACACTGATCCTACGGCTTATTTTTGTGATGCTTTTTGGAAGTGCGAGGACTAAGTGCCAAGCGAGCCTCGCGAATTTGTCTGAACCAGCATCGTTGCCTGTCTTTGTTGACTGAAATTGATTAAAAAGTTACAGAGCAGCAGTTAGTTCAAATGCACCAGTTAAGTAGCTTCCTGTTTATTCATACACTGGTACGCGTACTCATCGAAGTTCATATTTAAATGCAGCCCTATTTTCCAGTCCTCTGTTGAAGCTGTTTCCAAGTTGACAACGATCTATCTCCCTCATCACTTTCTAACCATTCGAAAAGGCAATCAGGTTTTAATTGTTAGAAGAGGCGGCATACACTCCACATATTAGCTTGCATGAGCGTCCCTTTCAAGAGAGACAGTCGCTGGTGAAGGGGAAACACTTAAAAGCAACTTCACATCATAAACCAGTTATACGAGACGTTTTTTGTGTAGAAATTTCGTTCTCTGATTTAGAACAAACTGTGTTTAGATGTGCATCAATTATGCAATTAATAATTGTTGTCATTTGATTATAAAAAGTTTCTATTTGCATCCCTCCTTCCACCATTCGAGCACATTGCGATCGAACATCATGATGTTGTCTAACAACGATAGATTGATCAGTGAACTGCTGGCACGGCCGTCTTCTGCCATCGATGCTAGCATGTAGCGCGAGCCGTGACCCATACCATATGGGTACCACACCTGAAATGTTGCCTCGCGCATATTAACTGGAATTGAACTGCATAACACATGCTACAGTTTTTGACCACAGATTTCATTTCGAACAACTGCTGGTTGGCGCAAATTTCGCAGCACTGCCGATGCACCCAAAATGCCGACCGGAAGAACTATGCCCACACACTTTTGGTACAATTGTTCTGGATGCTACTGCTTGTGAAGGCGGTGCACAATTACTGACAAAAGTAGAAGAGCGAACCCTATCGGAAAAACAGCAACGTAGCGAGCGAAAGCTGAAGTGTCGCGTCGTGATCACAGAGAGAAATAAACGCTCAATCGGGTGGCATCCTTGACCATAGAAAAAGCAAGATTTGAGAGATCGTCAGATTTCAAATTGTAAACTTAACAACATTCAGCAAGCTGGCCTGTTTGATTTCTTACGTGGTTGCAAGCAGCACTTCAAGCACTCCTTGCTCCATGACTCTCTCGTTCACTGCTGGCACTCATTCATTCGTGCTTAAAAACCCTGGTTTTTAAAACAAGCTGTGGTTCCAAGAGGGAAGAGAAAACGATGCATTACCTCATGTCGATGGTGGAATGGCCCCTTCTGCAGTCCAGGAAGTACTCGAGCTGGTAGAGTAGGGAGGATATCGTTGGTGTTTATTATACGAAATGAATTTGGTACCTGAAAAAACGGGGTTGAAATTCTAGCCTGAATAATTCATCAGCAGTAGTTGCGCGGACTGTCCGACTAAATTGGTTTCAACTGATTTCACCTAGAATTTGGCAAAAACAGATGAATTCTTTGAAATGCTTCCAGTTTTGAGCTAATTTGCCTTTTATTAATGTTACCAGTTCATCGTGCCGTTTGGCGCAACTAGCATCCGTAATACGTGGTTGTCCAAATGTGTACAGCGTGATGCGATCCGGATCGGCTAAGCCTTGGGCGGCAACCGTCACCGATGCTATCGATGCTAAACCGCCACCGAATGAATGACCGAAAAGCTGAAAGACGACGAGAGAGTGCTTGAAACGGAATGAATTGGATGGTGAACATGAGGGATCGTCCAGCAGTGCGAATAATGGTTTAGGAAAAGTTTTTTAAAATGTTGTCGAAATGTTTATTAAAAAAATCTTCGAGCTCTATATTAATGTTCTAACAACCTCAATCTAGTCACTGATCTTGAACTTTATTAAAATCGAGTCAACTAACCCATATCTGCGTTGATGAATTTGTATCAAGCGCATCCATTAAATCATCGCGCATTAACTCCCAGAGACGACGAAAAGCGTCGTGGTACACATCCGAAAGGGCCCCTCCGATGGTCGGCCAATCGATCATATTCGAATGCACAATGAAACTGAACTGTCGTGAGTGTATCTGAATTATATCCAGAAACTTAGATAAATGCAAAATCAAACTCTCCCTTAGAAGCATCTTTTATTCTCCGTTGCGTACAGACACTTCTCATTCAACGAGTTTTGCAACCCGGACAGCATTACTAACACCAAAACTGGTGTTAGTAATGCTGTCTGATAATTCTTTTCTAAAGAAAGCAA